TGCTGCAGCCGGCCACGGACCGACCGGCGATAACTCACGAAATCGGGAGAACGAGGCTGCTGTCGTCGTTGCTGATCCGGTGGGAGGTAGAGACGGCGAGTGGGGCTGGGACTGGGGAGGTAGGGGCCTCTTCCCCCCGTCTTTGGCCGGCACCGCCGCCGCCGCCGCCGCCGGTAGCGGGGCCGTGCGGCTCGGCATCAACGACGAAGGGCCGCTCCCCGCGCTCCCCGCCCTCCCGTTCGCCCTCGAGCCGTTCGGCGTCCGGGGATCGTTCGACGGGGACAGTGGTGGCGCCGGCGGGCGCAGGGGCCGCGGCGCCGGCGGCGACGAGGCGGAGATATCGGCCGGGTTCGGGTTTGACCTCGCGTTTGCGGGGAGCCCCGTGCACGACCGGTCCCGAATGCTTTCAGCAGCGGCGGACGCCCCGAGCGGTGGTGGCCGTAGCGGTGGTGGTGGTGGTGTTGCCGGCGAGCGGGAGCGCCGTAGCTTTAGTGCTAGTGATGCCGCCGCTGCGGCCCACGATGCTCGGGACACCGGGCCGGAGACCGGCGGGCGAAAACGCGTCGACGCCGCTCCGCCGGCCGCGGCGCCGCCGCTAGGGCCTGCTCGTCCGTCGTTCCCTGCCGGGGCAGAGCACGAGCACGCGGTTCCTGTCGCGACTCCCACTCGCCGTCACCACAGGCACGGCTTTTCCGGCAAGGACTCGCCCCCCCGCCCGGTCCCCGCGGCGGAGGGGGTGACGAGTAATTCACGGGACTCCCGCGAGGTGGCGTCCGCCGGACCAGCAGCAGGCTATGGCGGCAGGGGGGAGTCCGTCCCCAGTCCGAGCGTTTCTCCGGCCCACACTCCCGCCACCCCGCAGAGGCAACCGACGGATCAACGCCATCAGGCTGCTTGGCACAGCAGTGCTGGCGTGTCTACGCCGCCGTCCGCGGCGTACTTCACCGGCAGGCTGGGCGACCACGCGTCGGGGGTCGGGGTCGGCGGGAATACCGGCGGAAGCCCCAGCCGCAGCGGCGGCGCTTGCTCACCGGCACTGGACTCGCAGTCTTCCTCGTCCGGCGGCGGCGGCGGCGCTTCTATGCGCGGTGCCGGGGGGGGTGGGGGAGGGGGGGCGGGGGGGCGTACGTCCCCGGCACGCGCACCGCACGTCACTACTCTCGCCGGTCCTATGGGTCCTGCCGGCGTTCAGCCCCCCTTGCAGCCGTCGCCGCCACCCTCGTCGTTTGATGGAGGCGCTCAACAGCAGCCGCCGTCGTTGTCGGCAACAGGGAGTTCACACGGTGAGGAATGTTTTTGAGCGGGGTGCTTCCCTTCCCCCGCCAACCAAAAGGCTAGTGCCGCAGGAATGGTACTCAGGGCCCGAGCGAGACAAGTTAGTTGTATATGTGTTCGAAATGACGTGTTAGCCATCTTCCTCTTTCGTAGCATATCCTTTCTTGACGCGCCACACCTCCGTTACACCATGCTCTTCATCTCACCGGTTTGATTTTTTTCAGGAGCAGGAGGTGGAAGCGGGGGCCCCGCGGTGGGGGACCTGGGCGCAGCGCCGGTGCTCCTCAAGCCCAGCTTCCGGGGCAGCGACAGCCTCCTCACGATCCCCGAAGACTCCACCGGCTTCGTCCTCGTCACGCGCCCTTCGTCCGTTTCTTGCGAGCACGGGTCGCACTGCGAGTGCTGGGCCTGGTCTGCCAATGCCGGAGGCTGCGCCGCCGCCGTCATGTCGCCGTCGGCCTCCTACCTCGCGACGGCCAGCAACCCGTACGGGGGTCCCGGAAAAGAAGCTGCCGGTGGCGGCGGCGGCGGCGGCGGTGGCGGTGATCGCGGCGGGCGGCGGTCTGGTGGCGGCGCGTTTCTTGGGAGCATTTGGAACACCGCCGTCAACACCTTCCGCGGCGTTGCTGGCGGCCACGGGAGGCGGGCCTCCTGGTCGGCCGTGCGCGGGAGAGGCGGCCAGCAGCACAGGGCTAGCGTTTCGCCTCCGACAGCTGCTGTGTCTCCGGCGCACGTCCGCGGGGCCTCTTCGCCTCGCGAGCGGCAGCAGCAGCAGCACCTGTCACCGCACTCCAACGCTCGCAAGGGGGTGCGCGTGAGCGGGAGTCCCCTAAGGAGCCCGTGCAGCGGCAGGAGCAGCAGCGATAGCAGGGAAAGGAACAACG